CACATTGTATCCCAGATACATGTACACATGTGAGATCATCACATTGTCTCCCAGATACATGTACACATGTCTGATCACCACATTGTCTCCCAGATACATGTACACATGTGAGATCACCACATTGTATCCCACAGATCCATGTACACATGTCAGATTACCACACTGCACCCCATAGATACAAGTCATCACTTGTTAATTCAAAAATCAAGTTAAGATGGGCCCCGGTGGCATAAGCCTGAATCCCAGGTATTGAGGAGGCTGAGGCAGAAAGATTTCAAGTTCAAGGCTTGTCTGTATTGCAGAGTAAGATCAAGGCCAGACTTTGCAACCTCTGTGTCAGAATAAAAAGTGATTTAAAAAGAATAAAGAGATGACTGAGGATACAGCTCAGGCATAGACATTGCCCTAGTCCCAGCACTGAAAATAAATTATTTAAATTCAATTTGAACTTTAAAATAAGGCTCAGGAAAAAAAAGTAAGGGTCAGGAGCTGGCACATCGGGTAAAGGCACTTAGCACCAAGACTGATGGCGTGAGTTTGATCCCTGGAACCCACATGGTAGAGGAAGAAAATCTCTGACCTCCACACAAGCATAAATAAATAAATAAATAAATAAATAAATAAATAAATGTAAAACAAAGTGAAAAAGAAAAGGTCTGCAGGCCTTTGTAGCTTGGAGGTAAAGTGCTCACCTAGCATATACAAGGTCTCGAGTTCAATTCTCCACCACCCCAAAAACAGACAATAGACAAAACTCACAGGATGACTCCTTAAAATGTAATGCTAAGGAAACATTCAGGACACACTTCTACTAAGAAAATGTTATCGTGTGTCTGAGACACAAGGTTACTAAATAGCCTGTGTTTACCTGGCAACCTTACGTGGGTACTTTCCAAGTTAAAGAACAAGTGAGACGAACCTTCGGAGAAATCAGCTCTGTCTTTCTCCCTTGACAAACTTTCATCCTGACCGGGAAGGCTGAGTCCCTCTGTGGGATTCTCAGTCCCTGAGTTTCTATTGCATTCTCCAGTCTGCCCTTCAGTCTCCAGCTGTCTTTTACCTCAAAGTGTCATGCACAAGTAAGCGAGACATGTTTGTTCCAGCTCCACACATTCTCTGATGCAGGCAGCTACCTCGAGTCGTCTCCTAGGTCCACACTGGTCTCAGCACAGCATGGGAAACAGGGCCACTCAGTAAAGTGTTCTAGAAAGGGAAATATCCCATGTGTCCAAGTCTTAAAAATGTACTGGATGTCACCATGGTCTAATGCCTGTGGTCTTCTGAGTCCCGTCAGCCCGAGGAAGTAGAGAGAGGACACTCCCATTTGAAAGCTGTGGACAAGAAAGGATGCTTGTCATATCCATTGATATTTCATTGGCTGAAACTCAAACATCACAAGAAAAAGGATCTTCAGCTCTCTGGCACTAATACTTCCTCCCCTGTTTCTCTGGTGGCCAGCATAGTCCCTGACACATTGCCAACACAAATGAATGCAAAAAGTCAAACGAACCAAGCACAGTGTGCCAGGCCTAAATGACCACAATATATGTAGCACTTTCTAACTCCAGGTGCCTGTGTTATTGGATGTGGTTGAGGATCGTGGTGTGCCAGTCTTGCCATGGATTTCTTTGCATGACTTCCTTATTCTCTTTCATTTCTGTCTGTAGGAGTTGTGTATTTGCAAGCGTCCCACACGTCACCTGAACAGTGCGGTTCTAGGAGTCAGCTAGGGCATCCGGGCTGGCAGACTTTGCTTTCCCAAGGTTTTATGCACATCTTGAGGACTGGAGTTTAGACCCTATCATAGCACTCACACCCACACCACACCACCAACAGCACACATGCCATAATACATAGATAAGTAAATAAATAATGCAAAGGAATTATTATATGATGTTGTGTCAGGTCTGTTCTAAGGTCCTGGCAGTGTGGTACATGATAAGTGGGAAAATCTAATCATTTGTTTCATTACACTTGGTCGCTTTTATTTTATTTTATTTTATTTTATTTTATTTTATTTTTATGGAAAGGGGATATAAGACACTCTGTGTACCCTTGTGAAGAACACGTGATTAATTATGATTAATTATTGCATCCGACTACAAATTCAGTGCACGCCCCTGTAGCAGACTGGAGTTAAAGAGGGAGAAGCAGGAACATGCAAGTGAAAGGAAGGTTCTCAGAATGCCAAAGCCAGAGGGGCTGGCTGGAGCCACAAAACAGGCCACTTTTGCTGCTACCTGCCGGACTGCATGGCTAATGGGTTTTGTGTTGATTTCCTGCCAAGCTTTCTCCCAGAGCCTTGGGCAGGCGCACAGTGCCCAGTGATGTGCATAAACCCTCGGGAAAACAAAGTCTGCCAGCCCGGATGCCCTAGCTGACTCCTAGTCTGGTGAGCTGATTTGCTACCACATGAACAGTGAAACCATCCCACGGAGGACTGAGCTCCCGTGATAGTGCTCCCTTCAGAGCAAGAATCAGACTTGCAGAATGAAAAACCAGAAATATACAGCTTTACAGTCACGACTCATTTTAAACATGATCGTCCATGACCTGTGACCAATTTGGAAATTCAAATTAATCTTCAGAGGATGGCCAGCTGTACTTGTTTTGAAGTGTATGCAGAGGGCACTATCCAAAGAGAGACTCCGACAGTGAGCAGAGGTGATGTCAGTCCAAGCCAAGCCTCCTCTTCCAAGCTCTCCCTGCACAGATACTTACCTCCCCAAGACAGTGACTGTTCCCTCCTCGCTGGCCCAGCAGCACTCTTCCTCCACGTCCTTTATGGCTGATACCCATTGTCTTGGGCTTCCCTGCCCTAGAGCAGTGGTTTTCAACCTTCAGAACGATGTGACCCTTTAATTCAGTTCCTTGTGCAGTGGTGACCCAACCATAAAATCATTTCATTGCTGCTTCATAACTGTAATTTTGCTACTGTTGTGAATCATAATGTAAATATCTAATATGCAGGATATGTGATATCCAATCCCCCAAAAGGGGTCCCCTCAGCTTGAGAACTACTATTCTAGACAAAGAGTTTTCAGAAAATGAAAATGTATCTTGGACATTTTTGTAAACTCAGTATAAGTCATGTCTAATAAAAGTGTGTATATATGTATATATATATATATATACACGTGTGTGTGTGTGTGTATATATGTGTGTGTGTGTTAGATCTTTCATTTATTGAGCAACACAGTGTTTTAAGTCAGTTCTTATGCTTTAATGACCAAAAATGCAAGCAGTACCAATTTCATAGCCAAGGCATAGGAATGTAACTTACACAAGGCCAACAGGAAGTGAGTGAGGAGCGGATATCCGAGCTGTGTGGAGGGAGGCCGAAGTGTGTTTTGACCACTGCGATCAATGGGTTCCAACCACCGTTGACCAGCGCCCTTAGCTTCATATTCACCGTTTACCACAGCAAGGATCCCAAGGAAGTACAGATCCTGTTTTAAGAACGAGACAGTCAGTCCTGTGTGGTGGCTCGTGCCTGGAAGAGTACTGAAGAAGCTGAGGCCGGAGGAGCTCAAGTTCAAGACCAGACTGGACTGTCTAACCAGTTCGAGGCCAATCTGAACTGTATACCGAGATGTAACAGCAGCAGCAATAACTACTCAATGAGAAGGAGTGAAGTCTGGAGAGCCCACACTGTGAATGGGCAGGAGAGCCAACACCTCTTACCTCTCACACTGTGGCTCGCTCAGTAGCTACTGGGGAAACGGGAGATAGCTATACGTAAATGCTATTCTTGAGAAGAAGCGATGACAGTTAAAGTGACCTCTTTCTTTCTTTCTTTTTTTCTTTCTTTCTTTTTTTCTCCAGGTTCAGTCCTTTTTAGCATCACTGGATGGAGAGAAACTAGAACTGTTGAAAAATGACCTAATTTCTATCAAAGACATCTTTGTAGCCAAAGAATCAGAGAATGAAGCAAATCCGGAAGAACAAGGTAAAAAAGCAGTAACGAACAGCAAGGTAAACCAGGGGCCTGGGCCTCAGACACAGCTGCTGAGAAACAGGCCTTAGGACAGAGTGGGATTTCCTTAACCCAGGGGTTCCTCATACTGCTCCCGGAATGCCCTGTGCAGCTGTTGTGGATACAGGGCTGGTCTCAGTCATGTGTAGCCCTTTCTTTACTGAACCAGAGCCCCATTTTTTCTCTGGTGGCCAGCATAGTCCCTGGCACATTGCCAACACAAATGAATGCAAAAAGTCAAATGAACCAAGCACAGTGTGCTGGGCCTAAATGACCACAATATATGTGGCACTTTCTAACTCCAGGTGCCTGTGTTATTGGATGTGATTGAGGACTGTGGTGTGCCAGTCTTGCCATGGATTTATTTGCATGACTTCCTTATTCTCTTTCATTTCTGTCTGTAGGAGTTGTGTATTTGCAAGCATCCCACACACCACCTGAACAGTGCGGTTCTTGGTGTGGGAGGCTGGTAGCCTAGCAGCACAGTGCTTGCCTAGCTCTTTGAGACCCCGAGGTCAATCCCCACCAACCATACAAAAATTCCAGTTCTGACCATGGCTGTGCCATTTTCTCCAAGGTGTTTCAAGTTGAAGGTCATGGGGTGAGTGAGGTATACACATCCCGGCAGTCTTCCCCCTTGTCTCAGTTACTTTTCTATTACTGTGAAGAGACCATGACTCAGGCAACTTATAAAGGAAAGCATTTAATTGTAGTTTTAGAGGGTGTATCCATGACTGTTATGACAGGGAACATGGAGGCAGGCAGGTGGGCATGGTACTGAAGCAGTAGCTAAGAACTTACATCCTTACCTACAGGCAGAGGGGGCAGGGGGAGATGGAGAGAGGAAGAGGGAGAAGGAAGAGGGAGACAGAGGGAGAGGGAGGGAGAGACAGAGACACAGAGACAGAAACACAGAGAGAACCAGAGACAAACTGGGTCTAGCATGGGCTTTTGAAATCTCACAGCCACTTCCTAGTGATACATCTCCTCCAGCAAGGCCACACCTTCTAATCCTTCCTAAACAGTTCCACCACTGAATGCTGGAGACTAAGCATTCAAATATGTGAGCCTATGGGGGCCATTCTCATCCAAACCACCACACCTCTCAAAAGTGACTAGAACCCAAAGGAATCTAGAGCCTATTTTATGAGAAGCAAGGCTTCTTTTGAGAAGGGAAAAGTTGACCATACCCAATGTCTACATTGGGTCACCCACTTGGGAGTGGAACAGTCAAGGGTGTCCTGTGTACATGTGGGATGTCTTCCTACAGATGGCAGTAACAGGCACTTCCTGTAGTTTATACCAGTGGACAGAGCAACTGCAGACACAAAGCTGGCTGCTTCTAGGACCAGCAGGAAAGTCCATTGGAAACCTTTTCACTAATTCCTTGAACAAATTATATGACCCCGTTGAGAGAAGCATCTTCACTATATCCTGGGGACAATGCTGCCTATTCTGGGAACTGTTATAAGGCTCAGATTAAATACCATCCATAAAAGCCCACGTCATGGATCTTGGCACACAGAACTGGTCACATATGTTAGCTGTTGCTATTGTTACTTAGTGTCCAAACATTACCAGGGAGGTTGGGAAGGTAGAGTGAGCTGCAGCCTTGTTTGTTCCTGTCATTTCCTCATCATGCAGGGGAGTGATAATAAGTGCTCATACTGTCACTGTCAAGGCACAGAATCTTTGTGTTCCCAAGTGTGTTGTATACCTTTAATCAAAGCTCAGACATGAGCGCTCCTGTGCTTGAGCCTTGAGGCTCAGCGCAAATTATTCTGTGCATTCATAAACTTGTTTAATCAGAGTTTCCCCCTTTAGCCCCACATCCTGATCTTCTGTGCCTTCATCTTAATAAAATTTATGCTAATTGCATCAAAATAAAAGAGCCATTTATACTGAAGTATAGGAAGGGGCCAATAAATATCAAAGAGGCAACTGGGAATGATCTTTTGGAGCATTTGTATGTTCCTACAAAAGTCGCCAAAGATGGCAACCTTGTCATTTTTCTAATGAAGAAACTGAAATACTGGTTGTCAGAGGAGATACAACTCACATCGGGGACCCAAGATGACCTGATAGATGCCCCTTTCCAGCACTGACTGTCACCTCAATTAGTCTATTCTTCAAGCTCATGATTCTTGAGTTAGATCATGGTCCTTTTGGGTGTGTCATTCAGAAAGGATTTTTAAAAGGGCCCTAGGCTGGGGAAATGACTCTGACAGTAAAGTGCTTGCCTTCCAAGAGCAACGACCTGATTTGAATTCCCAAAATCTATACAACAAGCAAATCCAGAACAGGTGACATACTCCTGTCATCTCAGCTATGGGGAGACAGCAGGGAGATACAGGCTTGTGGGCCAGGTAGTCTGGCCTTTGGCCTCTTTGTTGAAGTCCTTGGCCAATGAGAGACTCAGTCTGAAACAACATGTGAGAGGTCCCTGAGTCGTCCGGTCTCCCCACACATGCTATGCGTGCACATACCCACACCCACAGATGGATCCACACCCATATGAACACACACACACACCCCACACACATACCCCCACACACATACACACACACCACACATCACACACACACACACCCCACACACATACCCACACACACATACACACATACCACACATCACACACACACACACCCCACACACATACACACACACACATACACACACACCACACATCACACACACACACACCCCACACACATACCCACACACCACACATCACACACACCCCACACACATACCCACACACACATACACACACACCACACATCACATACACACACACATACCCCCCCACACACATATACCCACACACACATACACACACACCACACATCACACACACACACACCCCACCCACATACACACACCACACATCACACACACACACACACACACACGTGCACGCACGACTCTATATTCCCACACATCAGAGACACGTTGCAAATGCAAAGTGAAATACCATTACATTGTTCATCGGTGTGGTTCTTTGGAGAAGAAACTGGGTTGTGCTGCCAATCAGAAAGTGTTGCCACAGGCAATGTGATGTGTTCTCATTTAAATATAGAGTCTCATTCAGTAAATTGAGAATCTTGAATTTCACACACACACACACACACACACACACACACACACACACACACACTGAAGTGCTGAATATCATACTTTAAGAAAAAAATGATAAATTTGGTGGCTGCAAGGGGAACGTGGTAAATTTGTCTCTCTCTTCATGACAAAACCCTATTATCTCTTGTAATAGATCCATTTTCCCCGAAGGCCATCTCCAGATGATCAAAACACTATTAATTTTCATTAACTTAATTTAATAAATAAATGTCATTCAGACACTTAATGAGGCACTGTGTGAGAAGAACAGGGGTGTTGTTAAATCAACCCCATCACAAAGGCATATGACAGCTCCAGGAAGACAGAGGGGTTCCCCAAAAAGACGGCAGAAAGGAATATCAGCCATGAGATGTGAAGAAAGAAAAAAAAAGAGAGCAAAATTATGGCAGAAATTTAAGCATCTCACCAGGATTTTTTTCATATACGAGCACTTTTATTCCTAAAATCTTCTAACAATTAAGTGATTTATTTGGTAGTCTCAGAAAGTATAATAACAGGCTGTCATCTTCTAGATTAAATTTTATATCAGGCTCCTGCTCGCCGAATAACACGGGCTCGTGGTTTGCATGTTTGTCTTTTTGCCACAATGTCGTCTCACCACACCACACAGCCGTGGCCCTCCGATCTGCTTTACCAAGGCTGTGAAGAGATTTTAAAAAGCCCATTTTCTGTTTTTATTGCCGTGAGGACGTTCTCTTGGCCACATATATACAGACGGAGAATAGCAGCAGGAGTCTGTCACAACGCCGACTAACGCTGGTTTTATATATTTTTAGTGACTTCTCCCCTCTGAAATACATAATAAAAGTTACTGGTGTATGTTTAGTAGAAGCCTGAGCCTCTGGAAGCATTTGTGTTCTGATTTACTGTCAGTTCCCACCAAATATGTTTAATCTGCGTGCTCATGTCAGTGTGGTGTATAACAAATATAGCTTTCCCTCTTTACAAAACAATTCAATACTATATTTGAATCTTATAGTAACTAAAAAGACTGGAATCAGGGTGTAGCTAAGTGCTACAGTGCTTCCTGAGCAGGAGTATGTCCCTGGATTGGATCTCTAGCAACCCTCAAAAGTACAGCATAAAATTTTACAAAGAACAGAGGGTGATTTTATGATCCCCAGTTGATGGGGAAGGTGGGATGCAGGGGGGTGGGGAATGAAGCCTGCTCACTGGTTTCAGGCCCCAGAGGTTAAGGAACTGGGCTGGGGTGGGTCTCAGCCAAGGGCTCCTGCCCTGCAGCACAGCCTCCCAAGAGATGAAGGAGACTGAGCTGTTCCCGGATGAGGCCTTGCCTATGTGCTTTTAGTAGAATCTCCTTTCTTCCCTCTCTCTTTCCTCTTCTGCCTCACCCCCTCCCTTCCAACCTCTCCGTACTTGGCTAATGGAGTCTCATTCTCAACTCTCCTCAGGCCTCACTGTGTAGGAAGCTTTCTTCCTATGCATCCTCTGAGAACTATACTATAGCTACAAACACTTACAGCACTCACCTTCCTGGTTAAAACGTGTCCCACTGTTACTTCATCCTGAACTAAGGCCATTGCCAGGGTCTACACCCAGTGCACACATGTCCCTCATTCTGTGCAGCCGCGCTGGCCTCCTTACTGCCCCCCAGAACTTAACAGACACGTTCCCTGCTAGACTTTACTGCCACTGCCAAGCGTCTAGAACACTTCTCCCCCCACCTCTGAGGCTACCGTCAGGTGGGGACTACACCCCACCTTTATCTTTCCCTTCTCAGTTACTATCTGAAACAAATATATTGAACTGTTTGTAAAAACGGAAAATTGGTGTAAATAAATTAGTATGTACCACACTGACACGAACACACAAAGATTTTAAATGTGTTTGGGGGGAATGTGAATGGGTGAGAACACAGAGGCTCCAGAGGCTCCAGAGGCTCCAGAGGCTCCAGAGGCTCCAGAGGCTCCAGAGGCTCCAGAGGCTCCAGAGGCTCCAGAGGCTCCAGAGGCTCCAGAGGCTCCAGCTTTTAAAGACACATTGATCCCTTCCTCAGCTTCCCCTGACTCCTGACCTGTTCGGGCTGCTATAACAAACATCACAGTAGACCTTACAAGCAGCAGGAACTTATTTCTCACAGTTCATAAGGAAGTCTGAGATCAGAGCGCTGGCAGATCTGGTGTGTAGTGAAGGTCCATCTCTGGGTCACAGTCAGCATCCTCTAGCTGTGTCCTCACATGGGACACAGACATTAATCTATTCATGTGAATTTCATGCTCATGACCAAAAGCCCCGACTCTGAATGCTATCAGCCTAGTGATTAGGTGTCAACAGACAAGCTCAGGGAAACACAGAATGTAGCACCTTCTATATAAAATTCCGAAACTCACTTGCTGCTCTTGCGGAAGACCTGCATTCAGTTCCCAGCACCAACTGGACTCACAGACATCCATCCAACATCTTTTTCTGTCCTCCACTGACCTCGGTGGGGACCTGGCATGCACCTTGTACACATACGTAAATGCAGTCAAGCAAGAATAAAATAAATAATGATGAAAAACTTTATAATCATTTCTAAGTTCTAGCTACCCCTATCCGTCTCCCATGGTTCATACTTCTCCGTAAAACTCATCACTTGACAGAAATGCTTTGTTTATCTGTTTATTAGCCTGTCTCCCTTTCGAGAATATAGATCATAATAAAGAGATCAAAGACAAGCATTTGCAATAGACTCACAGGCTATCTCGCAGGCTGCCCATTAACCATGTTTCTATAAAACTGAAACTATCAGATCCATGCAAGCGTTAGGTACAATATTTTCCACGTGGCTTAGCCTTCCCCAGAGGTATATCTGGGCTACGGCATGAGCCCAGGTAACTTCTTCACAGAGGGGTTTGTACACATGCAATTGAGCCAGATTAATGATGCTTTATTCTCCCTTGGGGGGGGGGGGACTCATAAACCCATTATAGAATCAATACTTCAGCACCTACCAGAAACTTTAAGATGGCATTGCTTTGAAGTTACACATGAGAGAAGTGAGCCTGTAGCTTTTAAGAATCTCTGTTGCCTACCAGAGATATTTTTGGTTAGTTGCTTGGTTTGGTTTGGTTTGATTGTTTTTGTGGGGTTTTTTTTTTTTGAGACAGGATTCTTCTGTGTACCCCTGGCTGTCCTGGAATTCAATATGTAAACTAGGCTGGCCTTGACTCACAGAGACCCACCCGTGTCTGGCTCCTGATTGCTAGGATTAAAGGCCTCTGTCACCACTGGCCAGTCAAGGATATTTAGTTTTATTTTATGATGTATAATTATACTATATAACAAATATATGATTATTATATCATATATCATATGATATCTTAATAGATCAACAATTCAAATAGTATTTTCTTTAGAACCTGTTATGTTCCAGATATCACACTAGGAATGAGTTAAACTCTTTTCTGTCCTTAGATAGTTTCCTATCTGAGAAAATAGATCATTAAAAAGTATCATAGTACCACATAGGTGTTCTCAAGAACCTTGGGAAATTTCTCCAGAGAGATGGTATTACATCAGAGCACACACCTCACGAGAATTCTGCTCACTCAGCCCTGGGAGTCCTTCCTCAGCACCACAGCCTGGGCATTGTCAAAGTTGCTATGGGAAGCATAACCATTCTCTGAGTATCAGGCACCAGTGGACTGACACAGGTCATACATACTCATTCCTTCAGCAATGGGCTGTAACAGCTGTGGCCCCAAGACACACAAGGTCTCTCCCTACCCCCTGTTGTCTCTGAGCCAGCCCAGGGGTGCCCTAGTGCCAGAGGCCTGCAGCTAGGCCTTGGCAGCCCTCTCCAGACACCCTGCTGCTTCCCTGCTGTGCTCACCAATGGAAGGTGACACCCGTCTTCCCAGGCAGCCTCAGGGCACACTGCCAAAGCCTCTCTCTCCTTAGTCTACCCCGAGTGCCTGCTGCAAAGTCAGGAGAGCTGCCACATTCTGAAGGATGAAAAAAAATAAATGAATCACGCCTCTTACTGCTGTCGTGTTCTGTTTCTAGGCCTAGAAGAAAGCGGGGAAGAATTTGCTAGGATGCTCACAGAGCTCCTGTTTGATTTACACGTCGCCGCCACACCTGACAAACTCAATAAGGTCGGAACCAACCCATTCTGTGTCTTTGGTTTTAAAAGAGGGGCTGGGGAAAGAGGATTTCGGTGGTAAGATTCCTCAGATCTGCAAGAAATGGAAAACACCAACCCCCCCCCACCACCACCACCCCACACACGGCGTAGCAGGGGGAGGGGAGTCTGAGGTCAGTAATTAGTATCTGCAGAGGTACCGTAATGGATGCAAGGCTTCTGAGACCTGCATGTGGTGCACGAAAGGCTTCTGAGACCTCCGTTCTGTAATTATCTGGTGACCTTGAAAAAGTCAGTTGCCCTTTCACAGTGAAATAGAATGTTCTGTCAGAGGATGATTATCTTCAAAGTGAGGTGAGGGGGAACCATCAAGGGACTTTCCAGACTCCACTCCCACCCTTGCTTTTTAAAGAGACACGCCAGTTTTAGAGCAATGAGAGAGGTTCATGCCTCTCCTCCCACCTGGGCCACCACTGCTCCAACACATCTTAGGACGGTCCAGCCTTGACATTCCAGATTCCTCTAACAGCACAGCGCATTTAAAAAAAAAAATGGTTTTTCGAGACAAGGTTTCTCTGTGTAGACCAGGCTGGCCTAGAACTCAGAAATCCACCTGCCTCTGCCTCCCAAGTGCTGGGATTAAAGGCGTGCGCCACCACTGCCCGGCACCACAGTGCATCTTGCAAGTTAGTACCCAGTCTTGCTGTAAAGATTTCTTAAGGAGATGCTGATCATTAATTATTCAAAGCTCTGTTATTTCTTTTCTTTCTCCCTTTCCTCCTATCTCTTACCTTACCTAGCAGTGGTTTGCATCGCCCCTCACCTGTTATAATGGGTGAAGAAAGCACAGGATGAGGTACAGAGGTGGTGAGATGAGGAATTTCTTTCTCTCTGTTAGGGGTTAATGATCTGACAGATCAGCTGGGAAATTATCTTGTTCATCTCCCTACAGCACCCTCTACCACTTGGAGGGAAGAGAGGGGACTTCTCAGTTGTATGGGTCAGCCTTTATTCCTAAAAGAGGACTTTTTAGGGTTGCTCTCTCCTAATCTGCTAGCTCTTGAATTACCTCCCAACATTCTGACATGTTAAACTCTGACACAGGCTTTAAGGTTTAGCGTAAGATGAGCCGGATCTTCTACTTAAGCAAACAGCTTAAAGGATCTGATGAGCTCTAGATTGGTCTGTCCCGTCTCCGAAGTGAGGAAGCAACAGACTGGGTGAGAAAGGTGGTCTCTGCAGTTTCCAGTTAGCCATGATTTTGTAGGTCACAGGTTGCTTATATTGCTATCGTGGCAGAGCCAGGCCCCTGCTCGCCCTAGAGGTTGGAAGGCCCTCCAAGAACCAGAAGGAGCAAAGCCCTCAATCTTCTTCTCATTGGTCCATTATTGGTTCCTGAGATGATGAGGGCTTTAGGAAAACCACCACATGAGGAAACTGGCTTCAGCCATGACCCTTTACAGATTCCCAGCCTATACAAGAAATATATATATATATATATATGTATATTTATATGTATATATGTATATATGTATATATGTATATGTATATATAATTTCTATAAATACAGGCCATCTTTTTATCACCAGCCGTGAATACACTGTAGCAACATCTGTCCGTTTTCTCTGATATCATATATTCTCTGAATATCATTTTAAAATACCCTTTTAGAAGTTCTTAGGCCCTTTGATGTGATCTATAGACTTTCCACTCCACCCTTGTTTTCTAGTTTATATTTTTTTATGAGCCACCAAGTTGCTGTCTAAGGGGCTTTAGGAATGGCCCCACATATCTGCCCTGGAGGGTCTGGGTTGAGAGGTCTTGGTGTTTACGTTCCCACGGTGAATGTATTGTTTGGTCGGGGCCATTGCAGGCCATGAAGAAAGCTCATGACTGGGTTGAAGAGGATCGAAGTGTGGTGTCAGTAGATGTGGCGAAAGGGTCTGAGGAGGAAGAGAAGAAAGAAGAAGAGGAAGAGAAAGCTGAAGAAGCTGAAGAAAACAAAACGGGGGGCAAAGGAGCTAAGACAGTGGAGGTAAACCTACCGGCATCTGCTGTAGTTATCTGTGATAATTCTATAAGGAGCCCCTTTCTATTTACACTGTGTCCTCCATTCTAGTAAGACTGCCACAGACACTCCCGATTCTCTATCCCAAGGCAATTTATGGCTTAGCACAGATCTTTGTAGCTTTTTCTCCATAATTTTATAATTTAAAAGCAGAAAGATCTTCCAGAACATAATTGATTTATCTTTATGCAAATGTGTTACTATAAATTGTCTTTATGCTCCCTCACTAATGAGGCAGTTGAAGCTCTCTTTCATTGCCGGGGCCTCTTTCCTGCAGTTTAGTACCCTCCTGTGCGTATACTTTATGTCCTGCCTGTGCTCCAAAAGTCACCTGCGATAATTGTCCCTTATGCCGAGTTCCAATTTTAAAGCAACTAAGGTAGAGTACTCCAAGAAAAAATGTCCAGTGGACACACACACACACACACACTTTTATGCATGGTTTGGCTTTGTGTGGAGACCGGAGGCTGCCTTTTCTCACTCTCTTCAGTCATTTTCCACTGTATTGTTTGGGTCAGGGTCTCACATTGTACCTGGTGCTAACATAACATTGGCTGTGGCCAGTGAGCCCCAGACATCAGTCCATCCCCATCCTTGCCTGGGGTTAAAGCTGTGCAGCACTTATGTAGGTGCTGAGGATGCAAACTCAGGTCCCCATGCTTGTGCAAAAGTGCTTTACTGACTAAGCCACCACCCTCCTCCACCCTTGGAATTTTATAGGGATACAAGATTACATCATCTGGGGGTCAGGGTGTAGCTCAGCAATATAGTATGTGCTTCGAATCATGTCCCGTTTTTTTTAATGTGACAGGGATTTTTGAAAAGAGGCTGCTTAGTGAATAATTCTCTTTGTATGCATTCATTTCAGGAAGTGTACATGTTGTCCATCGAAAGTCTGGCTGAGGTCACTGCACGCTGCATTGAACAGCTTCATAAAGTTGCAGAGTTAATTCTCCATGGACAAGAGGAGGAAAAGCCAGCTCAAGACCAAGCAAAAGTTCTGATAAAGTTAATGCAACTTTTAATTCTTACTTTTAAAATTGCATGTGTCTGTACGCACGTGGACACGTGTGCATGTATGTGTGTGCCGTTCATACCCTAAACACCCGAAGATTTAGATTTTCGTGTCAACTGTTATGATCATTTTAAGAAATAAGGACTCCCTTAGGAATACAGCGATGATGATGATGATGATGATGATGATGATGATGATGATGATACAATAAGGGTTTTTGAGATTTAAGAGGAGACACACTAATGCATTCAGAGGTATAAACATGTTTATTTTAATAGATCAAATTTTTCAAAGAACAGAACATTGAGGGTAATTATATATTCATACCATACCAACAGAGAAAGGATTGTCTAATATAACTTCTCAGTTCCCTGCACAAAAAGTAGGCAGACACACACTACCCTTTTCAGCAACTTTACCTGCCCTGCCTGGTCTGTTCTCTGGGCATGCTAACCACTAATGCAAGACAGTTCACTGCAGGCTGTGTTCCTGTGCCATACACTGGAGTTTATGTTCTTTAATAAGCAGTTGTTGTTGTTGTTATTAGTTTATCTAGTATTATGTAAATATGAATATACATAAGATTATATATATATATGTCACATATGAAAACAGTTGGTGTGGAATCTTTTTGAAAATAGAAAATAACGCTAAAATAAGTCATTAATTTTTATGTGTATAATTATATGACATGTGGAATATCAGCAGATGTCCAAATACCCCTTTGTTATTATTAAAACAAGGGAGGCAAAGTATCACTCAAGAAAGAACACCGGACACACACACACACACATACACACACCTCACCCATTATCCACTTGCATTTTGCTAGCTCACTAATTTTACTACATCCAACAAGGGAAATTATGCACTTAGAAATAAAATACACATCATGCGATAATTCTAGAGAGATAGTGTACTTTCTAACATGGAAGGAATAGAGAAAGATTTTGAAATGCCAAGGACAGCGTCTAGCTACTGCCTTGTCTTTGTACGGATCTGAAGGAGGAAGTCCCAGGGCGTGAGTCCTGGGACCTTGCTCTTAGCATCTTTCTGAGTCCCTTGTTTGTCCCAACCTCATCCAGCTGTGCTGCCCCCTAGCTGATGAGTGTTCAGTGAGAGCCCTCCTACTACCTGCCCAAGAGCACACAGCATGGTTCTCTGCTGTCGTCTGGCCTCATCCCCAATGATTTCCTCAGACAAATTTCAGATGGATGGACGCCTCCACCATACCTAATACCTTCATCATACCTAGGGGTGTAATTCAGTGGCAATCCTGCTACCACACGGAGCCCTTAGCTATATTCACCAGCATCATACAAAAGGGGTGGAGGGCTGGAGAGTGAGTGATTCAGTAAAGTACTTGCTGTGTTCATTCACCTGAGCACCTGACTTCAATCCCCAGTATCTATATACAAAACCAAAAACCAAAAACCAAAACCAACCAAACAAACAAACAAACCCCAGACAGGACAGCAGGCACCTGTAATCTCAGAGCTGGGGAGGTGGAAAGTGAAGGGTCTATAGCCCCTTCCCCTACCATGTGGCATATACACATATAAACACCTACACACACAAGAAAACTCTTATATAGGTTAGGCAGAGTCTCTATCAAAACAAAACAAACCATCTTCTTTCCCTTTAGTAGCTCTCCTAACGTGCAGTATTCTTAATCCGGAGCTTTTGTTTTTCTAATAGCATTTTATTAGCTGTAAAATCATACACTGCAATTGTTAGGAGAAAAATCAGACAGGGCACACATTGTTTGGCGATTATATTGTTTTCAGTTTTTGTCATCTGTGGTGTTAGCATCAACATGCTGATTAATTTTGTCCTTCTTGCTTTATTTTCTTGGAGTAAAGACTTAAAAGCAAATGGCCAAAGAAAAGTCCAAATTTTGAGATGTTGTAAAGAAATATTCCAGGGATCTTTATTTTGAGGCAATAGGGATAACACAATCAGGATCCAGAGACAAGCTGGATGTGGTAAAGCGTGTCCACAGTCCCAGATCTCTGTAGGCTGAGGCAGGAGGATCTCTGTAAGTCAAGGCAGGCCAGACTGGGACACATAGTGACACACTGCTGAAAGGGAAAGAAAGGAACGGAGTGTTTGCAGAGCATGCCCAAGACCCGGCTGGTTCTCCAGCACCAGGAGAGGTGAATGCGTGCGTGCGTGCGTGCGTGCGTGCGTGCGTGCGTGCGTGCGTGCGTACACACATGCAAATGAGTGAATGTACATTTGCGTTTTAATCCCCTTTCTACACTCACCACTGCATGTGCCATACAGGTTACTTTACAGGTTCAATTTAGTCATTAGATGACATATAAATGAGTGCCCTAGTGAACGCTCATTATTTTAAAATGACCCAGACACAGGAGAAAAGCCACCTGGCCTGAGTTTCCACTCCTATGAAAAAGATGCTCAGGCCTATGAAAAAGATGCTCAGGCCTGAAAGTTCCCTGCAAGTGGCTTTGATTGTAAAAGCAGGGCAAATTAATTAGAGGAGTATTCCTTAATTAAACATGGAAAGAAAACTGTGAACCATGGATAACTGTTGAGGAAGACTGCACATTTCTGTAGAGCGACTTCAAACTTGGGCACTGCCCTTTTGGCGTCATACTGCCGTTCACGTCACTAGTCGTCATGAGGTTTACGTTACTTTATTGAAAATCCCACGAACCTTTTTTTTTTTTTTTTCTGATTTCAGATTAACCACGGCAATGTGCAATGAAGTAGCCTCCCTATCGAAGAAGTTTACGAATTCTTTAACCACCATTGGGGTAAGAATACAATTCGGATCATTTTCTTACATTGTTGAGGGAATTAGAGCCGTCAGGAGAAGTCAGGAATATGATACCTTTTGGCACAATTCCATAATTACAGCTGAGTCATGCTGTTTTCTAAAACCAGGCTGAGGTTCCCTCTCTAAACACCACTAGCCTAGAGCTCCCCTTTGCCTGGGCTATAGACTTCAGGCTCCCTGGGCTATGAACTTTAGTCTGCATCTCAGACATTTGTACTGTTTGGTGAGCAGTCCGATCTCCGTGGACATCATTCTATTCATATATCAAAAGAAAGGGTGTCAAATGAAGGTTCCTTTCCATTGCTTATTATCTATCAGTACATTACTCAAGAATCTCTATTAAAATAATTAACTTTAAATATTATCATTCAGTATTGTGCTCAGTCTAATAAGCCACATATGATAATTGAAAAAAAAAGTGTTGTCAATGAACATTTAAGTGTCTCTGTTCTTAAGATAATAGCTGTGAAATATTGCATATTTTTCAATGTGTGGCTTCTGATTCCATATCTAGGTTGTGCCCTTTTCTGTCCCATGTAGTTCTTGTGGGCTGGGGAGATGGCTTAGCCGATGAAGGATTTCATGTGCAAGTGTAAGACTCTGAGTTCAGATCCCCAGAGCATGCCTGTAATCCCAGTGTTCTGGAGAGAGACTAGGTGCTCCCCCAGGCAATATGGCTCTCTAGAGTAGCCAAATGGGCTAGCTCCAGGTTCAGCAAGAAACCTTATCTCAGTAAATAAAGAAGAGTGTGATTGAGGAAGACACCGAGCATCAACCTCTGCCTCTAGACACATGCATGCAAACATGTGTGATCCCCCATACTACACACATATACATGGGGGAAGAAGAAATCAGTCATATTATAAAGTTAGGCAGGAGGAGCAAGTGGGAAACTTACTCCCCTTTTATCTTTCTATTTTTAAACTCCCTAGATGTAAGATCTGACTCTTTTCCAGAGACACAGGAAACAGAGTTTAGTCAGGGTATTTACAATTGCAGTGTACAGTTTTACAGGAATGGCTGGAAGTCTGAAACCAAGGCTATGTTCTCTCGAGGCCTCTGGGGGTGGGTTACAAATGGCTCAGATAAAGGGGAGCTTTCTGGAAGTTGGTGGAAAACTGTGAACAGCTTTGGGGACCCAGCAACAGAGCTCACTCCCACTCTGAAACATCCCCACAATCACATTCCTTTTTCTGGGTGAGAAGTTTCAGATCACCAGCATGGGTCAGAAGGTCAGATGGCCACCTTGAACTCACTCAGCTTTGGTTGGGGGCAAGATGGTGGCATGTAGACCTGGGGTGTGACTGCAGGCAGGCAAAGAACAGTTCTTCAGAGAAATGGGATATCTGTCCCCCCATATTTCCACTAAGTGACTCTACGGATCAAGGGTGAGTTTCGGGCCACCAACCCATTCTGCTGTCAGAAAGTCTAGTTTGCTCATTCTATCTTGGGCTTACCTAGTTTAGGTTTTTAGCAATACCATACTATATCATCTGTAAGCGGAGTGATGGGGAGACGGAAGCCATTGATGGATCGATGTATTGATAAAAACGCATATCCCTCTACTCCAAGTTACTTGAAGACAGGCTTTGGTGGGAATGGTGGGTCCCTGAGACAGTTCGGGGGCTTTCCTCATCAATTCATGTTCCAGGCTCTTCTGTTGCATCCCCCCACTTTCTGCAGTTCACTATCTGAGGACCTCAAGTCCCACAGAGAGGAGCTGATGTACCCAGGCCTCTCCATTGACCTGGAAGCTCTACACCAGCAGCCTGTCAGGCATTAGACAGATAACCAACTGTTTGGTGCCCCCGCGGCTGTCCGTGGGGTTTTATATGATTTGTGTTGAACAGGTTTTTCTCCCTGAGTGGGTAATATTTGTGACACTGTTTTCTTCAACTTGTACCATATCAGACCATGCTTCCCAGTGCATGCACGCCAACCACCTGGGGACCTTGTTAAAATGCAGATTCTTATTCAGCCAGTCTGTGTGAGCTGAGGACAGGGATTCTGCATTGTTAATTAGCACTAGGGTGACCAAGCCAAGGTCTTTCCTGAGCCAAGGTCTACACTGGCTGAATCAAGTTTCTGGCAGGTGGGTATGTGCTTGGACTTAAAACTGTACACAGACCCCAAACACGAGTACAAACATTTTCAAGTGCAAACATGAGCAAATGTGTGTTGTCCATCTGGAGACAGTGAAAGCTACATCTGAAACGGAGCTCACCACACACCACACGCCACACAACCCCGGTCTGCAGCTCTGAAGAATCATCTGCATCCATCATTGTTTCTGCTCTCCGAAGCAGCCATTATTCATAACTTGAAGCTAACGAGTGTGTATTGCTCTCCAGGCTCCGTTTAAATGGCTCACATAGCTCATCGATTCTGAAAACCGATGTCATCTCACTGCCCTCGTTTTGATTGTATCTTAGAGGTTTATTGATAATCACATAAACATGAAAGCGGATACTATCACAGCTTTTCTGGTTACTCACTAAAGTGACTTGAGTGTTTGAAGAGGTTCTTCCCCCCCCCCCACACACACACACAAGACTTCATTGTGGTTTCCTCAAAGAGGCATCTGTCTCTGAAGAGCAATGCCAACGAAGAAAGGCTTCTCTGGAAAAGATACACTTAATTCTTATGTTTGCTTGCCACAGAGTCTTCCAGGTACAGGAAGGGAACCCAGCCGACTAAGATTGCCCCATTAATGATTCATTGCTGTAGCAGTCAGTTGAGAGTTTTTAGATAGAGAAGCCTGCTGATTGACAGCCAAATAATATAAATAAGGATAACGATCCCCTCTTCCTTCTAAAGCACCGGAAACAGGGATTCGTTCTCCATGCCATACACACGCACTTGTGTTTTTCAAACCCGGACCTACAGACCTGTTTTGAAAGTTCTAGTTAAGAATGCTCTCAACCGTGTTGCTCTCCTGGTAGATAACTACAGTATTTGTGCTCATGGGTGAGGTAGGGAAAGAGGGGAAGAGAGGAAACAAAGAGAACAAAGAAAGAACAGGCAGAATAGACTACTAAGATAGATAAGTGGAGGACTGGAAATTTTGAGGCCAAAAAATGAACCAATCATGATGATGATGATGATGATGACGTCATCTCGGGCTGGAGAGATGACTCAGTCATTAAAAGCATGTACTACTCCTGCAGGGGACCCAAGTTCAGTTCCCACAACCCACATATTACCTATTGACGATCATGACTGTCTATAATTACACGTTCAGAGACTCCAGTGCCCTCTTCTGACCCCTGAGGGTACCTGGACTCACATGCACATACCCACACCAACATATATATGTAACTAAAAATAAATAGAATAAAATTCTTAAGAATAAGAATCTCAGTAAGCTATACAGATGCCTTAATTAAACTGTGCAGTGAGGCATGATGCGTGTCTATAATCTCAGCCCCTGGAAACTTGAGGCAGGAGGATCATGAGTTTGGGATAGTCTGGGCTACACAAAGATCAAAATATTTTTTTGACATAATAATAAAATTCATGACAAATTCACCACCAACATTGTAAACCTAGCTGATCTGGGTGTAGGATGGTGTCAGGCAGATTGGACAAGTAGAAGACAGCATCCAATCAACTACCAACTTCTAACCACTAAAGAGTTTACGTGTCTAGCAGTGTGAACTCAACATAAGTTGTTCAACCTCCCCGATCCCCATTTCTTCATCCAGCTGATGCCCAGGCTCATCCCAGCACCAGGCCCCTTACCGCGGCACCAGGCCCCTTACCGCGGCACCAGGCCCCTCCTCAGATTGCTAGTAGAATTAGAGATTACACAAGGCAGGCTCAGACACAAAGCCTGGTCTACGGTGAGCACACATCTTCCTCTAAGACATTCCTCTACAAACTGCTGTCTTATATTTGATGTGCTAAGAGGCCCTAATCCGTCAATTTCATACTTTCAATTTCACAGAGCAACAAGAAGGCTGAAGTCCTTAACCCCATGATTAATAGTGTGTTTTTAGAGGTAAGTAGCCCCCAGAGAGAAAGAACTTCGAATCAAAGTGAATGGTACAGCCATGTTCTTTTTTTCTCTTTTCTTCCTCCCCATCAGCAAGTGTTATTGGAATTCTAAATCTTATCATCAACAGTCTAACAGTGTGTGTGTGTGTGTGTGTGTGTGTGTGTGTGTGTGTGTGTGTCTATTTCTGTAGCTCAGCCAGCTGTCAAGCGTCTGGTAGAGCAGCAATGCCTAATTTCCAAGAATTCCTGATTATAAAAGGAAACGCTAAGCTGGCAGGTTATTTCCTGCCACTGTTTCCCCCCCAGCAGACGCAGATTTTTGCTGCCAAGTTTGACACTGTGATTATTGGCTGCAATGGAGGATTATTACCCACTGGTGATTTTCATAAAAACGGGCATTTCCCTTCGTTCACGATAACTTTGAGTATGGCTGAGTCTAAGTTGCAGGTTAGCAAAAATGATACAGAGCATCTGCCCATTCAGCGACAAGCATAGAGTCCCTAATGAGAGAGGGCTCACTGCTTGCCCTGCCTGTTCACTAGGACTTGGTAGCAGCAGCTGCACAGATGGAAGGCTATCCCAGTACTACTGTGGCTCTGCAGAAAATGAACCCAGCGATGTAAGAGAGAGGTAGTCCAAGATGCCTTCCTAGTCTTGGAGCGTTGGGCACTGTGTTCTGCATGTGGGCAGTGGAGGAGGACCTCCCATTAGAGACGTGGCTGTCAAACTCTTGCATGTAGGGTAGCCACAGGGCCTCAAAAGCAGCTGTGGAACATGGGCAATGCACAATGCCATTGTCTTCGCATTTAGATGACAAGAGTAAGTAAGCTTTGGAGACTACATAGCATCAGAAATGCTACCTCAGAACTGATGGCAGCATTGCTGGGAATTATGTCTTGTTGTTAAGCAAAACTGTCCATGGACAAAACTTAGCCAAGTGGTGGCAGTGAGTGTCCTTACTTAGGACATAGTAACTCAATGGAGTCAACCAGAAGGCGCAGGAACTGTAGGGACAAGTCCAGTGGAACACACACAGCTAATAGAAACCCTGCAAGGCGGAGGCAGAATGTAAGACAAGAAAATCTATCTTCTGGACAGCCAGGCATGGTGCTGTACACCAGCAATCCAGTACTCAGAGGTCTGAGGCAGGAGGATGGTAAGTTCAAGGCCAACACAAGCTATATAGTGAGACTCAGTCTCACTCTCAACATCCCACCCCAGATCTCTGTCTTGGTTGCCAGATTAAACATGTACAGCACATTAATTTACCGTATTTGTGCACCACAAATATGGCACCCAATAATTATCTGCTGACCAAGAAGAAACTTTCATGTTCTAGATACCCTCCCTAAACTTCATCTGTTGGCCATTTTTACAATAATCTCTCCAGGGTCCTCTGTGCAGAGCTCTCTGTAAATGGTTGTGGTTTAGACCTTAGCCTCCTCTGTCCTGTGATTTCAGGACCATGGAGTTGACCCGAGAAAGGGGTAGATAATACTGCCCATGCTGGGCCGTGAATTTACACATACATTTCTTAAAGCCCGGGGAAATGATTTGTCTCATTCTGAATGAGGTCTTTTTGTTAAAGACCTGGGCACACTCCATCCAAAAACATGTGTTGACATTTGCTGCAACTGCAGACATTCTGAGAATTTTATGATATTGTCGCACTTCCCTCTCCTCGGTGGAAAGGGACGTTGTTGGTGCTGAATAGATGGCTCAGCGGTTAAGAGCACTGGCTGCTCTTCCAAAGGACCCAAGTTTGATTCCCAGTCTGTAATGGGATCGCATCCTCTCTACTTGTGCTCATTAAGGCAGAGAATATATATATATATATATATATCAAGATATATACATATATATATGTGTGTGTGTATGTATGTATGTATGTATGTATATATCTTGAGAGAGAGAGAGGAGAGAGACAGAGAGAGAGAGAGAGAGAGAGAGAGAGAGAGAGAGAGAGAGAGATGTTATATAATGACAGCCATCCAAATTGAACTACGGAACTACCCCTCAGCTCCGTTTTTCCTTCTTGCAGGGCTGCAATAGCACCACATATGTCCAGGACGCCCTCCAGCTGCTGCTCCCGGTACTGCAGGTCTCCCACATCCGCACCAGCTGTTTGAAAGCTACAACCCAGCCGGACTCCAGCTAGTTCAATGGCAGGCCACATCTCTTCTCTACATACCCTTTAAAGGCAACGGACTTCTACGTCACTGGCCAAACCACCCATCTGAGGACACTACAAGCAATTTTTGCACAGTTTTGAAAATACAGAGAGCTAACATTTCTCTTAATGTATACTGTTTTATCAATAATTATGTTGTCTTTATGTTAACTTAAACTTGTACTTGTTATATTGAAGTTTTCCTGTAATTTGCAGTTCATTCACAAATATATCTGTTTTCCTGGTCGACCAGACTGTATTTAGAAATTCATAGGGAGACTATAGATTTTTGTTCAGCTTTGAAATGTCTACCTTTCTGCACCCTATTTTTTTCTAAAACATGGCTTTAAGTAAGTTCTTATACTGAACTTGATTTTGTTGCATAAACATCATAAGCAAAAATAATGCTACTTATTTGGTTCAAAGGAGGACATAAATATTTTTTGTAGTCGTTCATTTTGTGATAAGATTTATTGAACATCTACTACGTGTTTACTATAAAAGGAATACATCACTCCAATAGGCACATGTTCTTAAAGATGATTTATAATAATACTTAACATACTTTAAGATACTAAGTAAGATGTTCTCTAAACCTTAAAATGCTTGAAGAACCAAGTAAATGGGCAGTCACTTAAAATGTGCTACCCTTAAATTTATTATAATTTTTCAACCTCTTTGAACTTTTTTTAATTCCAGGTTACCTCTAGGGTAAAAATATGTATGAAAAGGGATATGAAAGAATATTAATTTTTGAGATGTAGCCTTGGCTGGCCTGAAACTCACTATGTAGACCAGGCTGGCCTAGAACTCACAAAGATCTGCCTGCCTTTGCCCCCCAAGTACTAGGATTAAAGGTGTACACAACCACACCTGTCTAGCCTGAAGAAATATTTTAGTTTAGGGTGTATGATGGCAAAATTACAAAGCTGAGAAGCATTTTAACAGAAAACTAAAGAGGTTTTAGCCAAGTAGAAACCCTGACTGCATTTCAAAGATGCCCACTGACCCGATCACACGAATGGTGGTGACAAAGGGTGGAAAGTTGTAGGTTGACCAAGTGGGGCATTGATCCAGGGACACACGTCAAAGACCTTGCATGCAGCAATGGCACTGATGCTGGGCTCTTCTGAGATGCAGCTGTCTTTTTTACGAGCTGAGATTCTCTGGCATGCCTCTGTTTGAGACCATCGCTGACATTTCTACCAGCAGTGTCCAAAATAGTCGTGCCCGGTGGCTTATTCCAGGGCAGGTGATGCCTGTAGTCTTGAAAGGGAGAAATCCCTCCTCTGTATTTGCTTTTTACCTGTGGTGGAAGCAACTATGCCCCCTGTGGGCCAAGTAGATATTTGAATTCTCTCCGTAGCATTTTTTGCGTGTTTGTGTTTTGTTTTTCAGCTGTATATCTCCTGAAACAGCCAAACAAAAACACAAGGACAATTTATTTGCAGCCTAGAAAAATAAAATTCTCTTTAAAAAAAAATTAAGTAAAGGTGTGACGTTCTTCCTTTCCTGACATCTGGAATGTTTCTGATGTTAAGTGTGGTGGCGATTAACTGTTGACCACGTCACAGTCACCCCTATGAAATTCTATAATTAATTAAATGTATAGAGCAGAAGAAATAATCTAGGTTTGCAATCTTCATATCAGAGGGACTTATACATTGACTAGAAATATACAATTAAAAAACACCTCCAAGCATTAGATTCTCAGACTCAGTCTCTTGGCCGTCAGTGCTGGGGCAGTGGCTCAGCAGGCAAAGTGTTGAGAAAGCATAATAACCTGAGTTTGGCTCTCCAGCATCCATCTGTGTGCACACCTGTAATCCCAGCAGTGGGAGGTAGAGACAGGAGGATCCCTGGGGCTCACCAGCCAGCCAGTATAACCAACTGGTGAGCTCCAGGTTCAGAGAGTGTCATGGTTCATATATGCTCTGCCCAGGGTGTGGCACTATTAGAAGGTGTGGCCCTGTTGGAGTAGGTGTGGCCTTGTTGGAGTAGGTGTGCCTTATTCGAGTGGGTGTGTCACTGTGAGTGTGGGATTGAAGACCCTCATCCTAGCTGCCTGAAAGCCAGTCTTCTGCTAGCAGCCTTCAGGTAGAAATGTAGAACTCTCAGTTCCTCCTGCACCATGACTGCCTGGATGTTGCCATGTTACCACTTTGATAATAATGGACAGAACCTCTGAACCTGTAAGCCAGCCCCAATTAAATGTTGTCCTTATAAGAGTTGCCTTGGTAATGGTGTCTGATCACAACAGTAAAACCCTAACTAAGATAGCGAGAGAACCAGCATCAAAAGATAATGACAAGAACAGTAGAGGAAGATGGCCAAGGTGCAGGTGGCCAACTCAGACACACAACACGGGCACAAGTGCCTGCAGAAATACGCATGCACACCACACACATACCTGAAAGAGAAGTTCAAAACACAAAGCAGTGTATGCCTGTAATACCAGCACTCAGGAGGTAAGGCAGGAAGATCAGAAGTTCAAGATCATCCTCAGCTACATAGCAAGTTCAAGGCCAGGCAGGGCTACCTGAAGTTTCATCTTTAAAATGTTGCCTAGACATTCATTTAGTGTACAGAAAAAAAATTTAATTATAAAACAAAGTTTTAAAAAACATTAAAATAATAGATTCAAAGTAAGCAATATTATTGACAGTTTATTTATCAATCTTTTAATGAAAAAAAAATCCAAGGTTGCCAAGTGGAGACATGAACTGAAAGAATTCTGTAATTTATGATCTGTAAATTTAACTGTTTAAGAGAGAACAGTCATTGACTGTAGACCCATTGTCTAGGATTTCTCTCTCTCAGTACTGGCTTCCACCATCACTTTGAAATAATTCCTGCTTTGCTTTGCTTTAAAAACTGTCAAAACACATGATCCAGACCTGGGGAAATGTGAATCTATTACTAAATGAATGATTTAGCAGGCCTACCACGGAAGCTTGCTATTTCCTCAGTAATACTTTACATAAGCTGAGTTCATTGCACTGTACACAATTACCCTGAACAAGCAATGCCAGATTTTGCATCAAGTACAACATAAATTCTGGCCTAAATAATGAATATAGCCCCAAGTCTGTGCCTTATTAAATAAAAAGCATCCAAGGCCTATTTCAAATTCAAAGTAAAAAGCATTCAAGAAAAAATTGCTTCGGGATACTGATACACACAGATGCAAAGGACAAACAGAGTCCCAGACCTTGAAGGACAGGCCTACGTTAGCATTCTCTGCCCCGAGAACAGCAGTATGTGCTTTCTCTGGGTCTCACACAGGGCTGGACACAAGCTCAGAGTTAAAGGAGCATGTGACACATTGATGCTGTGACCAAAGGAAGCCACACACACCAACAAAGAAACGACACACTCCAGACGCAGAGAAAGGGGAACCAGGAGTGTCTCTACACTTCTGTGTCTGGGCAGAAGTAACGTAAGGAATGGACAAGTTCTCTGGGTGCAGGGTCAAAAGATTCCAGTCCATTGTAATAGAGAAGATAGAGTGAAGCTGGACAGCTCGTGGCTGAGGGGAGCCTGTGGCAGAGGCTGTTCACATCTCGTGGCAGATCAAGGGAGCTGAGAGTCTAACAGGATCTGGGGTCCTTTCAAAGGCCCCTAATGACATGTTTTCAGCAACTAGCTTTTCCATTCCTCACACCACACCTAAAGTTCTCAGGGTCTCACAAAAAAAACCCACCACCAAGTGGGAACAAGCTTTCAAAACAAAGCCAGGGTGGAGTGAGCACATTTCAGATCCAATCCATAAGAAGGAAGCATCAACACTGTAATGGCGGAAGGAAAATGCAAAGTACCAGAAAAAAAAAAGAAAAGCCCCAGTTCGGGAAGCAAAGATGTCCTTGAGCTGTGTAGAAAGAAATCAGTCACTCTGAAGCGCTTTTGATTCCAGAGACACACTTTCTGTGCAGGCTGGCCTCGCTGCAGCAGTTTAAGAAACAAACGCAGGAAGGGTCCTTTCAAATTTACAAAACGATGAAATAATCATTGCATTTCTCTCTGTCCTAAAACGAAAAGTGCTGCGTGTGTGCTCACACGCTTACACATGTACACGAGTGCTGAACAGATAAGGTTGCTCATGCTACACAACGTCAAGTGGTGTTTGATTTTATAAAAGTAATTACACAGCCAAGCTGGAGTGGGTTTTTGTTTTGGGAGTTTTCTTTTTCTCTTTCTCTCTCTCTCTCTCTCCCTTTCTCTCTCTCTCTCTCCCTTTCTCTCTCTCTCTCTTTCTTTCTTTCTTCCTCTCTTTCTTTCTTTCTTTCTTTCTTTCTTTCTTTCTCTCTCTCTCTCTCTCTCTCTCTCTCTCTTTCTTTCTTTCTTTCTTTCTTTCTTTCTTTCTGATAATATAAGAAATTCCCCCTTTCATCCTTTCTTTAAGCACTCCCCGCATCCTAATGTTTAGACCCAGGCTTCAACTTGGCTCCTTAAATTACCACGTTTGTAAAGGCACTTCAGAAAAGATGATACTGAAAAATCTGTCTTAGAATGGCGATCCTGTGCTGGTTTTGTAGTTGATTAGCGTTCACAAAGCCGCTAAAGTGGCTTCAGACCAGCCACCCTTCTCATGAAAGAAAATAAACGAGGGTTACCATGTGTGTTGTTTCCTGAGCTACCTCACTTCATAGGCAGGCTGGTATTTGTTTCCTATAGGTTCACAGGTCTGAAGAAAGACGTGGTTTTCTTCCATTTCTAGTTCATCCTATACGCTACACTTTATGGTTAAGTTATGACAACCCAAATGGTGAGAATATATTGATGTTATTTCTATTAGTTCTACTGTCAGGGTCATCACAGGTTGGACATAGAGACAGTGCAGAGGGTTGGAATTTTTCATTGGGAATTGAACTAAATTCACCTTTGTCTGGATCACAGAGGATTTTTGCTGGCATGAGCCATCAGCCAAGAAACAATAGGATTATGCCAGCCTGTAGTGACTGCAACTCACCCGACTGGCCTGCCTCTTGTCTTAGTCTCAAAGGAAGTTTAACCTGAAATGAATAATATGTGGATGTCTTCGATGCCTTCACTGAGTGCAGAAATTTGGGGCGATCCAGAGCTGATCTATCTTTCTGCCCTGTGTGTTCAATTGGCAGGCTTCTCAGATGCAGTTTGGAAGAAAAAGGCAGTACAGAAGCCAAGGCCAGATGGGTGAGACCTTGGCAGAAAGCAAAGCTAAGCCTTGAGTCCTTGCCATCTTCATCCTGTTTCTCTCACAGGATTTTTTTTTT